ATGCCATTTTTTTAACTCTCATTATTTTGACGAGCACCTGATTTCACCACGCTGCCTCACACACACAAGATCTTCCCCCCATGCATCGTTGGGTGGTTACACTCAGTTTGTTGACTGTGTGTCCGTGAAGTGTACCAGTGTCTGTTACTCTGAACTGTATTTTTCCCCAAACTCATGTTGTCCAAGTGTGAACTACAGTGAAACACGGATAGCTGGAATTCATCAGGACCGGTCTCAGTAGTTCGAGGGATATCTTACAAAGATACAGAAGAAGACAAAGTTCAGGACAACAGGCACAATTCGATGGAAGCGTGATTTCAAGTCTTCTGTGTTTGACCTATCCGTGTTATACTGTATGTCCCATCACTTTGTAAGTACATAATATAGGCCTGCTGTTTTGCCATCGAGGTACCGGTATTGTTGCAATTTCATTTGACTCTCATTTCAGGTGTTTTGTGGGTTCTCAGTCTCCACTCATGTTTCAGATTCAGACATTCTTTTATTGTTATGTGCATTATTATCCTTATACTGTTCCTGGCGAAATGTGGATTCCGATATATGTATAGTTGATATAGATTAATGTTATTATAATGAAGATTGGCTGTAGAATAACCCCAGCTTTACTCGGCATCAATGTTTCAACTAACTACTAGTCAGTAGTACTAGTAGAAATAGGCTAGGACTAGGGGGTGAAAAACAAGTAGAATTTAGGAGTAGCCAATTTTTTGTGTATAGTTGTTGGGTTAGTGTTTCCAGGCAGATGGGCCAGCCCCTTAGTGTGTTATGGTTGTCAGTTATGAGTCAGGTACATGAGGATGAGATTGTTCATGGATTTCTCACTCCCCTAATTGCATTCTGTTCCTCATTTTATCTCAACACCTGTTGACTTATAAATACCAAAGCTCTTACTTGTGAGGTGGTTTGGCTGGCTTTCCATTTCCTCTTCCAGCGTGTTTTATTGTTTTGTGTGTGTGTGTGTAATTCTTTTGGCTGTATGTATGTGATGTGAGGTTGGGAGGGTGTTCTGTTGGCTGAGCTGCGTGTAATGTGTTGCCCGCGGTACTCTGTGCTCGGGATGTGTGAATGTGATTGGAGGTTGGAGGAGTCCGTCTGATCTTTTGGCCGTGTGTGATACCTACACTGTGACTACACACTATGTACATTGTAGTGATGAGTGGTGCTGCCTCTTGGTGGGGTAGAGAAAGAGAGAGAGAGAGAGAGAGTGTGTGTGTGTGTGTGTGTGTGTGTGTGTGTGTGTGTGTGTGTGTGTGCATATGTATGTGATGATTGATGGTAGAGGGAGGATTTTGCTCTTTATTATCACAATTATTATTATTTTTATTTAAATGATGA